CGCCAGATCATTCCTTAGAAGCAGACGGCTGATGAACTGTTGGTTTTGTGTGTGTGTGCGTGTGTATGTGTGTGTATGTGTTTCCTTGGCCCCAAAATAAAAGACTAAACAAGCAAACAGCTGCTACAAATATTTTCCTGGATGTGCTACAACCCATGTAAAAGAAAGGAGGCCAACAGAACTTATTGTTCATAAGCATTTATATACAATTAAAATAATTTCTGGATCACTGGACTCACATTACTTTACATAATGTGAACTGTAGGCATTTGTAAGATCTTTGTCTTTTCTAGGAATGTCACCATTCCATGTTTATGTGATTTCATCCACATCCAGTTTTCTGCATGTTTAACCGTGAGTTAAGATTGACCACATTGTTCAATCACAAGTAGCTGTGGGCCACTACTGCCCTCTATGTGTTACACATGTCACTACAGTGTCCTCATGTACTGTGCAAAATTTGCATTATTAAACCATGCTGCAGTGTGGTGGGGCTCTTAAATGCAGCCATAAATGTGAAATCGTAGCAATAAAACACATTCCAATACAAATGCTAATAAACGATTTTACACTCCCAGGGGGGGTTTCCTTTAAAAACTACATGAAACTGGCTCAGTGGTGTTCCAGTGTGAGAGGAGACACCCTGCAGGGAACTCTTCATGTCCATCAGTGGTGCATTGATAAAGCCTTGTGTGCACAGGCAGTGGGCATGCAGACATAACTTGAAGCTTCTCTATTTGACCCACGATGCTGTGCCCGTACCCCCTGTTGCTCCTCTCTTGTGTCCCCGAGCAGGTCCTCCCATTCATTTGGCTCATTTGAATTCCAGCATGGGAGACCTCTGATGAGCCGGGTGAACTGTTAGGCTACACGACAAGACTGCTAATTAATCACAGCGACTGTACACGTTGTATCTGCGCTGTTAACCCACATCAGTCTATACATCTGACATTTATTTTATCTGTGCATGCAGAAACATATCAGAGGTGGTTTTCACATTGTCATCTCATTGTAGATTACGTAAACTTTATTTGTTCACCCTGAAAAGCAGTAAGCACAGAGTAGAGACCAGAATGAAAACAAATGCAGTTTATGAAATTCTGGTAACTCCCTCTCATGTGTATAATATTATCATTATTCAAGTCACAGAAATACGTTTAATATTATCATACCTTCCTTTTAATACTAATCTTGTTCTCTTGTTTAATTTACCTTCAGTCTCCTTCATGGTTTTTAACTGTACTCAGGTCTCCATTAATTATAACATCTCAATGTTACTTAACTTAAAATGAACACCAGACTATTAAACTAGTAAACTATTTCATGAGTTTGCCATGAAGAACGCAGCAGGAGACTGTCTGGGTCAAGCATCTTCACAACAACACTGACATGTCCGGAACATTCAGGAGAGCTTGTGTGCTTTGGTGAGGGTTGGAATGGAGATCTGCCAGTAAATCTAAAGCTTTGCCTTACGACTCAACTCAGCCACAACACTCCAGTACAACACCTGCATTACTGCTGGTGCTGCACCAACCTGCTTGTCCATCGTTCCCTCACTCATGAACAAGATACTTAAACTCCTTCACTTGGGACAGCAACATCCCCCCAACCGGCAGAGAACCATGGCCTCGGACTTGGAGGTGTTGACTCTCATCCCGACCACACGTGGCCCGGTGCTCACTGGAGGTCACGGCCTGATTAAGCCAAGACAACCACATCATCGACAAAAAGCAGGGATCCAACTCTGAGGTTCCCTACACAAATGCTCTCCTCACCACAGCTGTGCCTTGAAATCCTGTCCATGAAAATCACTAACAGGTCTAATTTAGCATTTCTTTAATGACGTTTTTAAAGGTCCAGTGTGTAAGATTTAGGTGAAAGGGAACTATTGGCAGAAATGTAATGTAGAATAATTCTCTAGTTTGTTTCATCTAAATTGTATGAATTGTAGTTTTCTTTACCCCAGAAAAGGCCCTTTATATTTAAATACTTTATATTTACATTGAGGGGACCCTCTCTACAGAGGCCACCATTTTTTTTTACATGAGTCCAGACTGAACAAACTAAACACCTTTTGAGTTTTTATGACAACTGAAGCTCCCACAGGTTCTTTTTCATGTTTGGAAGGAGAGGGTGAGGTGAGGGGTGTTCAGCTGCAACATGCAACGTCAACACTAGGTATCAGAAAATGCTACACACTGCACCTTGAACTGGTCCTTCTGTCCTCCAGCAGAGGGATGACCATGGTGTAACTGGTCATAGAGCGCCTCACATTGCATTAATCTGGAGCTCAGCTTCTTATGTTTGCAGGTCCAAGTCAAATGTGAAGAGTCTTTGAACGTCCCTCAGGCACCGGGCAACATCTTTGCACAACAAATATTACACCTAAATGCTCATCTCCTCGGGCGGTGTAGCACAGACAGAAAGACACACGTGAAGAACAGAGGTGAAGCTCCACTCCACCGCAGACCGAGCACCAAAACAAATCACACAAATGCCCTCACACCTACAATTACACAAATCATTTTACACACCTGTACTCAAATGCACCCACGTATACACAGACATAAAAAACACGCTCCAAACAACCACTGACGGGTACCCATTAAGGTTATAAACTCAGGATTCTGTGTTTGTGAGAGCCAGTATCAAACATCGGGAATAAAAAAAACACACACTCTTGGCGCGCCACAATTGCAGTAATGGATCTCATTATGCTGTTCCATACAAAATAACTTAATTGCAGTTTGTTTACGCATGCGGCAAAGTCTCCTTTTCATGTAGTCCAGACCATGTGCATGCATTGTCAGAAGATATAAAAAGTCCACTGAAGATTAAAAAATGTAGCCATTCTTAGTTTATGACTCACCACAGTACTGGAAATTAGCTTTTATTATGAAGGGTATCATGCCTCCTGTCATCCACCTACAATATATAATAAACAAGCCTGCGTGTGACACACATCGTCTCATGGGAAGAGTTTTCACGAGCGACTGAGTTGATGCTCAGCTGTGAAAAATAAAATACAAAAGTCGATTGTCAACATCAGGACTCTTCAAAATCGAATGTGACTTTAAAGGATGGTTTTGGTGTGGGCTGTGGCTGGCGTCTGTTGTTGCTGCATTTGTAAAGTCCATATGCTTTAAATCAGTGTTTCCACTAATTCCATTTAATTCCAACCCCCCCCCTCCCAAAAAAATAATCAAACACGCCAATATTATTCTAGTAAATCTTGAGTTTTTAATGAAATTTGGAAATGTTTATTCGCACACATATTCAGATGACGTTGAGCAGCAACTACACTGGCGAGAGACTTTAGAGTTCTGGTCTCGTTTTTTGTGTCTGTTTGGTTTTAAGTGTTCGATTTCTGTTGTGATTTGCCTCGGATAAAATGTTTTCTCATGCTGAGCTTGTTACACAGACACACACACACACACCTCACAAATCATCACCCCACCCATCCACACTGAGACAGCCGAGCCCTGCAGACCACATGGAACCGATCACAACTCAACAAACACAGCGTAAATAGCAACTAACACGCCATAAACAGATCAAGTATTTCAAGTACGCATATAAAAAAACAGTGCCTTGGAGAACTTTAGAGCAAATGCCTGCATTTGTTTGTCAGTGTGCCAGTGGTGATTTTGACAGCAGGTTTAGCTCCATGGAGTTGTTTGTTTAATGCAGTTTTAATAGTTTAAAAGAGCAGAACAAGTTGGAGGTGGCTCTTTCCTTCTCAGCGTGGCCGGTGGATTTAACCGAAACAAGTGACCGACACAGGGAGGGAATGTCCGGTTCTTACCTGCTTCTATTCTGCCAGCAGGGCCGCTCGTAACTCCAAAGATCCATGGTGGGTAAAAACACATCAGGTGCTGCCAACAGAAAAAGAGTGAAATGATGAGAGAATCAGATAAATCACAAACAGCTGAACAATTCAGATCCACACCAAATGGTCCACACTCATCAAATCACATCAGCCAACTAAATATGCCTGAATTTGTAAATTAAGATCCACAAATTAACAAATATGTGGTAAAATGTGTAAAAGAAAATCTAGCATCTGCCCCTTTAACTGCACCAAAATTGAATGGGTTCTTCCAGGCCTATGTCCAGTCCCTCTACCAAATTTGGTGCAGATTTGGTGTGATGAACCAACCCACCTCCTTGGTGGAGATGAAAAGTACATAAAAAAGGAAGATGTCATACAAATAAGACATTGAAAATAAACAAGACTCTGTTGCATTGTTAGTGGTTCTGTGATGCTGATATTTAGACTGTGTCGAAAATCACTTATCCAATCTGCTATATATAACTTCTACCCCCATGTACGGTGGCCAAGAGAGCTCATCAATTTGACGAACCACGTGCTACAAACGGTCACAACACCAGCAAACACAGAAATGCCAGAGGACCCGAAAAAGTGATGAACCTGACTGTAGTTCAACAAAGTTCCATCAGCACTAGACAAGTAGCAGACTTCAATAAGTTCACAAAGCATTAAACTGCTGTTCATCACCTTTCTGGGTCCCCTGGAAACATTATCTGCATGTGATTTTTCTATTTGATGTGTTTTCTTGATTTGCGTTGAAGATCTCTCAGCATAAAATGCTAAAGAAGAACTGATCACCCTTCACCTGTCAGTGATGATGCTGACAGAAGAGAGGGGAACTGACCTGCTCTCAACTTTATTTATAATGTACAACAGATGAGTGAGAGAAGTCTTCCACTTGTCCACAAGAGGGCACTGTATGAACATCCAGAGGTTCACTGTTACTTTCAGTTTGACTCTGTGCTCCCACACACACACACACACACACACACACACACACACACACACACACACAGATACACATACATTATTGTTACAGACATGCAGACACAAACAAACAGACAGACAGACACAGACACACACAGACACACACACACACACACACACACACACACACAGACCTCTCTCTCCCCTCTCTCTCTCTTTTACTTCCGCTCTGTAGGAGGAGTCTGTGTGTTACGTTTAGGGAAGTTGCACAATTTCGGAAAACACAGGTTACTTGTGTGTTTGTGTGAAATCAGTAAACCAGTGGAGGAGAGTAAACATAAGATGTGTGTCGGTTGTTGAACATGTCGGTGTGACTGCAGGATCAACTTTGGTCGGTACTGTATCTCGCACCATGAATAACACGGTAACTTCCGCTACTTACCTCCGGAACATGAGCTACAGTTCCCGGCGCAGGTTGTCGGACTTCCTGGATCCTCAGGACAGGTGGAGAGACGTGGCGATGTCCATACGGAAGCCGAGCGGTGACATGCGGTACTCACAGCAACACATCTGGTACGTTGTTATAGTTACTGTCACATGGTGCAATAACAAGACCACGATGTAAAACTATATCTGATACTATATACATACATCTATATCATTCTATTCATCTATTTCTATCTATCTACCTACCTATCTATCTATCTATCTATCTATCTATCTATCTGTCTGTCTGTCTGTCTGCTCCCCCATTCATTCTTTCATTTTTTCCATCACTCATCCCTCCCTCCTTGCATCCCTTCTTCCTTCCACCCTTCCTTCCTTCATTTCTCCCTTGCTCTCTTCCTTCCATCACTCCTATCTCCCTTCCTTCTTCCGTCTCTCCCTGCCTTCTTCCATTCCTTCTTCCTTCCACCCTTCCTTCCTTCATTCTTCCCTTGCTTTCTTCCTTCCATCACTCCTATCTCCCTTCCTTCATCCCTCCCTCCTCCTGCAGGAGGTTCCAGAGCCTGGTTGCTCAGGGCAGGAGTCCCACAGAGGAGCTGTTGAATGACTGGGGAACCACCAACTGCACAGTGGGGGAACTCGTGGACATTCTGAAGAGTCACAGGTTACTGGCTGCTGCTTCTGTTCTACTTCCTGGTATGGATTATTAAAAACATTTTAGACTAACGACCACATACTAATACATAATAAGTCCAGACCACTTATCTGCAGACAGTGGTTATATTTAATATTCAAAAGCATCAGCTCATTCATGAGCTGTTCTCATCAGACAGTGAATTTCTGTTGGACAATTATTTCAGTTTGGTCCGAAAAGTATTTGTACAAGATGTTCATTGAGTGAGTGCAGAACTTTAGACTTCACTCATTCATGTATTTTACTACATTTATAAATCAGGGACTATGTACAAAAACACTAATCTCATACTGAGGAAAGCATTGAGCTTTGTACCAGGCTCAGCATCGAACTACTTTCCACATCCAGTCCCTGTGTTTGTAAAGGTCAAGTGATTCCTGGGAATTGAGGAGACAAACTGCAAAAGTAAGGGACACTTACCAAAGATGCTGCTTAAACAAAACCTCAACTAATATCAATAACTCAAACAAACAAGAAATTAGAGCATCCTGAATGTCAACAAGTAACAAACAGAAAGCTGACCATCATACTGTGAGTTTTCCAACAGATTTAATTTTTGTTCCATATCATTAAAGTTTCCTTTCCTAATGAGATTGCATGATAATTTTATTATTTTAGTCTGTCACAAAAAGTAGGTTTAAAACTAGACTATAGTATCTTTTCCCAGAACAATATCTCTTCAGTCAGATAGAACAGTCAATATAAACCAGACATCATTATCTACATACATAACTGGACAGGGACTCTGTGTAAACTGTTTTTTTTGGGACCACAAACAGTGGAGGAGGCCTCTTCAGAAGAGCTGCAGCCAGCGTCTCCTCCAGCAGCACAAACAGAGAGTGAGGCTCCGACCAGACTCCTGGAGGAGAGACAGACTCAGTCGTCCCATGTCAGCTCCAGTCAACAGCCAAAGACTCTGCGGGAGAGCAGTGAACCTCAGGACACAGGTCATTTTTATTTTAAGAAGGCGTCTTGGGGCATGTTGATGTAGTCACTTGTAAAGAGGCACATGTGTTATTGCATGAATGATGTACATGAGAGAATCACATGACATGAACAAATGATCATAGTCAGTTGAAAACCTCACAACAATTGGTTTGATCAAATATATATATATATAAGTATAACCTGGGATTTTACATGATTGGCCAGCAGATGGCAGCAGTTGGGACTTAACCACAGACCCCCCCCTGACAGTTCTCTGTGTGTCCCTCTTTATATACAGTCTATGGTCCCTCCTCAGGTTTCTCCAGCTTCTTGTACAGTGAGCTGATGGAGATCACCAGCAACTTTGACGACCGTCCCATGTCAGACGGCGGCAGCAGACTCGGAGAGGGAGGCTTCGGCACCGTGTACAAAGGACTCCTGAACGACAAACCTGTCGCAGTGAAAAAGTTGAATCCAGTGAGTCGACATATTTTCATGCCAAGCTCACAGATATCACATGATGTAGAAATCATTAATCGCAAAATTATCTCCTGTAGATGGACAACACTTCGCTGGACGAGCTGCAGGCTCAGTTCTATCAGGAGATCCAAACTCTGAAAGTGTAAGTTTTATCTCCTGTCTCCATCACTGATAATCTGTGACACGACCGTTACAGTTTAGTGGCTGTAGCTAACAAGGGAAAGAATTGTTAGTTTTTTGGAAAAGCTGCCTGTGGAGTCTGGCATCACATTCACATGTGTCAGGTTTAAAGGACACTTACACCCAATTATTCTAATGACTATCATTGATTAGAAAGTAAATGTAGTGCTTTTCTAGTCTCCACTCACAGTGCTTTACACAAGAGGTCTCATTCACACAGCGCTTCTCGAGCACACTCATGGTACCTCATTAGGGCAATGCAGGGTTCGGTATCATGCTCAAGGACACTTCCTTTGACGTTGAACCACTGAACGTCTGATTAGTGGACGACCTGCTTGACCCTCTGACCCACAGCTGACCAAAGTGTTAGTGTCAGAATTTAATTTTGTGCGACAGTTGCAGTTTTGTACAAATTAGAATTGCTGTACATGGATCTTCATGGATGAGAGATTTAGTTAGAGAGATGGGAAACATTTTTTTTTGACCTTTTTAAAATGAGATGCAGATTTCAGTACAGTCAATGCGCACAGCTTCACTGAGTCTGGTATGACCTCCACGTGTCTTGGTGATATTGCCGTGTAACTTTTCCACATCACTTGTGTCCACCATGGGAAACCATACACACTATATAAAGATGGACGACACAAGAGCTCCACAAAAGTGAAGCCAAACCATCTTGATCGCCACCAGAGCTGGTTTCATTGTTAATTTCTCCAATAATTTTTTAAAATTTGTTATTTAATGCTATAAAAATGGGATGAGTCGTCCTGATTGACAGCTGAGACTGACTCATGATTGGTCAAATGCAGTGGTACCTAGATACCACTACTCTGCACCACAATCAATTGATGTCACCAGCGTAAAATGGCAGTACTCCGATCGGAGATAATTTTGCTTTAGTTTTGTCCAATGGGAAGAGAAGGAGATGCAACATTCCTCTTTATTTACAGTCCATGTGTTTCTATGTGTAGCTGTGACTTCTTAAGACTGTTTGTTCCACAGGTTGAAACACGAGAACTTGGTTGACATGGTTGGGTTTTCCTGTGACGGACAGCACCCGTGTTTGGTGTACGCCTTCATGGCCAATGGATCTTTGCTTGACCGACTTGCGTGCTTGGTAAGCACGAAATACAGACTCTTCTTTCTAGTACTTTGTACTTTCACATAGATCATCCAGTGATATGCTTTTGTCCTTGTAGAATGATAGTCCTCCACTGTCCTGGCGACAGAGATGTGTGATAGCAGAGGGGACGGCAAGAGGCCTGGAGTATCTGCACAGTAACCATCATGTGCACAGAGATGTTAAGAGGTGCAACACTTATTATCAGTGGCCTTTAAATGATGTTTCCTTAAAGGAATAGTTTGACAGTTAATTAAATACCCTCATTCACTTTGTTGGGGGAAAAAAGTGGAAGCTACGGCTAGTTAGCCGAGTTTAGGATAAAGAAAACATGTTTCCTGTTGTCCATTGTTTGTATGGATGAAACTGTGAGAGTATGTGTTCATCTCAAAAAGTGTTCATTCTTTTTTTATTTTCTCTCATTAGTGCAAATATTCTGTTAGATGTTAATCTAGTGGCGAAGATCTCAGACTTTGGTCTGACGAGAGCATCAGACAAATTGACGACCATGATGACGGACAGGGTCGTGGGGACCCGAGCATACATGGCGCCAGAGGCCCTCAGAGGAGAGATCACACCAAAATCTGATGTCTTCAGCTTTGGAGTGGTGAGCTTCCTGCAGACACACACACACACACACACACACACAGCCAGACACATGCACAATACACACACACTCACAGCCAAACACACACACACACACACACACACACACACACACACACAGAAGGGGATACTGTGTCAGGAAAGGAGAAACTGCAAGTGTGTTGTAAAATATAGAACAGAGCTCAGCAGTTTGAGTGAAAGGTTCTACCAGAGTACTGACACACACATAATGCAGGACACAAACATGAAAGTATACATTTCCTCCCATTTGTGAGCAGTTGGCTCTATTTTCTGTTACTAAAAATAACTAAAAAATCTTTTTAGGGACACAGCTGTATAATAGAAGCTATGAAAGTGAAAGAAGAAATTTGCATTTATGTGTGGATTATGTATTGAGCAAACACAATCTATTCTAACTGTCCATGCATCCAAACATTATCTATACCACTTATCCTTTGAGGCTCGCAGGGTGCGACTTTGGGCGGTTCACTCTGGACAGGATTGCCAGTGTATCACAGGACCGATATACAGAGTCAAACCATTCACACTTACATTCACAGCTATGGACAGTTCAGAATCTCCAATTAACCACAGAGTAAACCAGACAAGGGGCAAACACATGAATGCAAACTCAACACAGAAAGGCCCCAACTGAACCGGGATTCAAACCTTCTCTCTCTGAGGCGACAGTGCTAACCACTGTTTAACTAATAACACACAGTATCACTGCATTGCTCATATTGAATTCATCATTCAGACTGTTCTATGTTGGAAACAGTATGTGAACAGAAAAAAACACCAAGTGGAGGCAGGAGTGTAGGTAGTGGTTAGAGCTATTTGGATTTATAAAAATATACATTTATAGATTTATAGTATTGGTCAGAAAGAGTCAGAGAAAAGAAGTGTGTGTTATTAGCCTGTGTGCATTTAATTTGTCTGCACTTTTGCATTAGATGAAAATCAGATCAACTCTTATGAAGAAATAATCCAGAAATCCAGGTGATTCCTTTACTTTGCTCTGTATTATTCACTGCATGTCATTGGTTGAAAGACAAACAGGATCAGCGTTGTATGAAACTGCCTGACCTTCCATATACAGCGTCAGCCTATAAGTCTTGTTAGGACAGCTGTGCAAACACTGCAGTGTCTGTGGAGGTACTTGGCACATTGAGGGGCAATAAAGATTTTCTGTCGTCCGGAGCCGTGTGATTAACCCCATGTCTCTATCTACAGGTGTTGCTGGAAATATTGTCTGGACTCCCGCCAGCCTGTGATAACCAGGAGCAACAGTTCTTGGTGAGTGGCACAAAAGAGGCTTTCATTGTTCCGCTGTCAAGCAGCAGTCTCAGATTACGTCTTATTTGGAGATTTAGCATTTAATTAGTGCGTTATCAGACTGAGTTTCCAATTTATTTTGATGAACTTGACAACTAATCAATATTTTCCTCAGATTGTGTCTTTTAAAGTTTTCCATCGTGTGATTTTCCCTCAGATGGAGATTAGGTATGATATAGACGACGAAGACGAGGACCTGACTCTGGAGGACATTATAGACAAAAAGATGAGAGACTGGGAGCTGAGTCAGGTGGAGAACATCTACTCTCTGGCCTGTAACTGCCTCCATGAGAGGAAAAACAGACGACCACTCATCAATCAGGTACAGAGAAGAAACACAAGAGGACGTGTTGTTATTTGAGTTTTACTGACATGGATGTTTTGGGGCCAATAATGATGTTGGGATGTAAAAACAATGTGCTGATAAACATGTGAAAAAAATAGCATTCAATCCTAAGATGTCCTCACTAAATGTAATTGAGGTGTGACATTTACAGTTGAAACGTAAACTGTATTGTAAATAACTAAATAAAAACATGACAACAAAAAATATAGAACATGAATAAAGAAAATAAACTAAAATATTTTAAAAATGTAAAATATAAACATAAATATGCATCTTTTGCATATGTTTATATATATATATATATATATATATATATATATATATATATATATATGTGTGCGTATTGGTAAAAATAAATGCAGATAATGACATGTGTCAGTTAAAGTCTCAGATTGGCTGATTTTCTGTTTTGGCTAATTGATCAATTGTGCATAGTCTCCATGAATCAATCTTTATAAAAATATAAAGATTGATGCATATATATATATATATATATATATATATATGTATATATATATTCTGGATCCGCCACTTCATCCACACCTGCACCAAAATGTACTGCTTTCTTCCCAGACACCATTCCTCCACCAAGTTAGGTGGAAATCGCTTTCAAAGATTTTGGGTAATTCTGCAAAACATAAAGACCAACAGACACAGGTGAAAACATAACCTCCGTGGCAACAGCACACACTTTGCAAACACTTTGCATAAAGTTGTTTATGGTGTTGCCCTTGTTTGTACACACACGTGGAGTCATAGTAATGATAATAAAACTACTAAAACACTTCTATAAAATTACTAAAGCATTTATGTAAATAACTTACACAGTGCTGTACTAAATACTTGGGAATAAACAACACAGAACAGAACAAGACAAAACAGAATCTGAAAAACGATATATTTAGTCATGGTTCCTGTTTGATGATCAGCTTCTAAATGACAGAATTCTAATGTTTGTGTATTTTAATGAGTTATCAATGTGTGTTAACAGGTGCTGTCAGAGCTCAAAGGGGTCGTTGAAAGCATGTCACTGGATTGTCAGGCATAGCATCACACAGAAGATACAAGATGTGAAAACCTGCCCCACTCATTCAATGCGGAAGAAATGTTTCTTAAACAGATTTCAATTGTTTTTTGATAATTATGACTGACAAAATATGTTTGCATCAATGTATATTTTGAAAGTAATGTCATCCTTTTTCCCTTTTTATAATATACTATATTTCTGGTGAGCTCAGTTAAAACAGTTGTGCCAGTGCGACTGCTACAGAAGTATCGCAGTACAATGTACTAGAATTGAGCATAAGATATCATAAGGTTTGGTGGCTCAATACATTTCCTGCCATTGTCTCTCTTATGTATTTACTGTAAAAAGGAATAAAATGAATGACACAGAAAATGTGTGATTTAAATATTTTTATTATTCTCTTAAAAGAAAGATTTGTAAGAAAACAAATAAGACCAAACATGATTTATTTTTTCTATTATGACACAATGAATGTAAAGGGATTTTCCCTTTAAACATGAGGTGAGCGTAGTAGTTTGCCTAATATTAATCAGCAGACCAGTGGATGTGGCAACATGTTGATCAGGGTAATTAATAAAAGAAATCCCTTTCTTTTTGCTTTGCTTTCCTTCATTGACGGGAACCAGCAAAGTGTGTGAAGCTTCCCCTTAGTGAAATCTGAGATGTATTGATGTTAATATTTCTGGAAGCCCCTGTTCTTTCCACTGTGCTCCTCACCGACACCGACGATCACCAGAACAGACTGTTTCTTAATCATAGAGCATCACACAGCTACAATATGTACATTTACAGCACTTGCATAGAAAAATAAGTTTCTCAGCAGATGATTTTTTCCATGTAAACCACAGTTATATCAAAAAGAAGGAAACATTTGTCCAATATAAAATGCACTGTTAAAATAAATCAACAGACAGAAGTGGGATCATTCTTAATCTTCTTCTACTTTGGAGCACCTCATTGTGCAAACAGTTGGAGACAAATGTAGAAACACGATAAACACGGAAACGTAAATGACATAGACTAAAGGAATGAAAGTTAGGAATTCGAGCATGTGAACTCAAAACGGGGGAATTTCATCATATTGGCGCAAGTTCACAGTCACGTTTACGTTTTTTCAAGTCTCAGACCTGGCAACAATGTAAAAACCTCAAGTTTAGTTTGTGTGGGCCTCTTTGAATGAATTCATTTTTGTGAGTGTGCTTACATACATGAATATGGTTCCATTTGGCAAGCTGCAAATGGAAATTACTTAAGTGTGACATTGCTCAGTTGTCCTTGGCGTGCATAGTTGGGGAATTTGAGGTTGTCATCTTATTCTTTTTAAACAAGCGTGTCAAATATGATTCCCCCCCCAATCACAGGAATGTTCCACTGTGGAACGTGCTCAGGGTGAAGGGTGGTGGTCGGGTGCTGAGGTCTGTTTTAATCTTCGTCCTCTCCCTCTACAGGTAGTCGGACCATGCGGCGAACGCCCCTTTTCCCCGCTGGGCCTTTGGGCTTGGCAAAGGCCTGCTTGTGTGCATGCTGCTTGGGATGCACCTCCTCGTACAGGAAATCACCGGTCAACTCGTCACCGTTATCAATCTCCAACTACAAAACACACGGAAGCTATGAGCAGAAGAACTTGACCGCAAGACACACTTCAACTCACAGTAATGAAGGAAGATATCTACTTCTCGACAACTATGGGTTTTTGATAAAAACATTTTGAACAAATACCATTTCAAACTCTGCATGGCTCATACTACTTACATTACCTCCTGAGTTTACTCATTACAAATCATCCTTAAAGCCGCTGAAGACTTTTCTCTATTGGCTTAAAAAGATGTAATGCTTTTTATTATTTCAAATTAGAAATGTTTTTCTTGTAATTATCTCACTGGTTTGAAATGAGCACGGCTCATATGAGAAAAGTTTGAAGCCACATGCTTTTGTGTATTAATAAACATTAGTCGCAGTTGAACATCCAGTCAAATTAGAGCAACATTCAACGATGCTTTTCATTATCAGTTAATCTGGACACTATTGTCTTGATGAACCCAATAATAATTTTGTCAATGCAATGTCAGATAATAATGTAGTAGATTTCTATAATGTAAATAAATCGCTTGTCGACTAACAGTCAGATATTCTCGTATTTGAGAAGCTGAAATAATGACTACAACAATGAACAGGTTATCCAGGTAATTATAATGTTCATCACATGATCAGCACCTCCCTGCCTGACTACTCTACATCCTTGTGATAAATTCTGCCCGATGAAATGTTTCTTACCTTTCTCTCAATCTCAATCTCCAGCTTATTTTCCACCATGTCAACCAAAGGATTTTTGCAGCTGGAATACAGCATCCTCTCTCTGATGCTGCAATTGTACCCCGGCATAGAATAAATGAAAACTGCGAAAGTAAGAAGGACAATGTGAGGAACCGACGCAGAAATAACTGTGGTGTGTGTGTGTGTGTGTCAGCTGTTCATTATAAGCCGCGAGAATCTATTCACCTGTGGACTCTAAGTAGTCGCCTTCATGGGAATGTTTGTAGAGGAAGAAGTGGTAACGTGCAGACTCTTTAGGGATTCTCATTGGCAGGTCTTTCAAGTCTGTCGGCTCAGTGCTGCACAACCGAATCAGCTCCTGCTCAGAGTCCACTTGCTGTTGACAAAGGGAAAAAAAAGCCTCTGTGCTTTGAATAGCAGACCAATAAGGGAAATGTGGGTGTGGGAGATGATTAACAAGCCCTCAAAATCTCAGGTGTGTCTGAATAAAACATTGACTCAGTCGTTGCTGGTGTGCTGCTCTGCTGTCAGCAGTGAGCGTTCAGTGGATAAATGGAACAAAGCAAACTGCTTTCTTGAAAAGCTTTTATGTTGAAAACAAAAGGGAATGGAGACAAGGACGCAAGAGTAACACAATTATTTCTTTGTACTTGTACACTGATCTGATCCTGTGACATTTGAATTTCAATGAGAAGAATGGACACAAAGGCTTTTTTGGGGAAAACGAGTCATTGTGTCATCCTGCAAACAACTCCTGATCTAGAACATCTCCATATCTCCAAACGACACAAGATAAAATGGCTGACAGCAGATTTGCTTTTTAAAATTACTGACCTGGCAACGTCACTCATTATTTTCTCTGAGGAACTCACCAGCTGCACATAGTTGATTCTCTTGTCTCTAAAACGTTCGAGTGCTGCCATGGCGTCTTTGTGAACAGGGAAAGCCACTCCCTGCAGAGTCTGCTGCTTGCTGTCCACACTGATGTCCGTCTGCACCTGAACACACCACAGACACACACAGTTACACATACCAGACATACATGAGTATGACTTAGCAAATAATAATAATATGCATATTTCTGCAGTAACATGTTGAATAGAGAAAACCTGTGGTTTGCAGTACTCAGGTCATTACACACACACACACACACAGTATGCACACAGACACATGTCCAGATATTACTGAAAGCACCATTTTGACATGCTTTTGACATTAATACTGCTTTCAGATGTCTAAGGCTCTGGATAATCTCCTTAAAATATCTGCAGGGTCTGTATGTGTCGGACAATCTCTGGACTGAGTTTTTCCTGCTTTTTCTTAGCTTTTCCTCTTTTCCGCTGGTCAAATAAAACCACTAATGCCTGCTAACCTCTGGCTTTTGTCTGCAGTGGTAATGGATTCAATCGACATTCACTCCCGGGTCAAATGATCCTGCAGTAGGTTTGAAATCGGTGCCGGCTGCGATCGGCAGTGATGGAAACACAACATCACGAAGGGAACAAACAGAAGTTCTATCAAAGCAATGACAGGTATCCACTGATGATTCTGTTTCCAACACTTGTGAAATACAATAAACATTCTTTATTCCCTGGATCATGAAGTAAAAAGGTTTTACAGGTGGAACAAGCAGTGTGAATGCTGGAGCATGGTGATTACAGATGAGGTGCTTGTATCTGAAGTGACAAGGCGCCGCCATGGAAATCACAGAAAACTGGAAATGCTGGGGGGGATTACACTGATGGATTGCATCTATTTTTAGCGCCCTGTTCCCACAAAATGAAATACCGTGGAAACATGATTGAGCCTCTGATGCAGCTACCTCGCATACCAAAAAGGATTGTGGGTCTTTTATCCATCTGCTTAGTAGAAAAAGGCAGGAAGTCTCCGAGGCACGGCAATGATAGATATTTCAAAGCCTCTTTTTTCATGCAGGCGGTACAGATTAATAGTATATTATCTTCCTACAACAGCTGGACTAGTGGGACGAGCGCAAACCTCACTTCCTATTTGCTCTGCTGCTGCTTTTAATTGACCACACTGCCAGCAGGGCTCGCACCACTCAAAGTACTTCCATATATGGTCGGAAAGACAGTTCTTGTTTATAGAACCAAAAGCACCAAAGTCAGAAAAGCGAGATTTCACCTGCTGCTCTTTAGCTCTCTATCTGGTGGAGTCTATCTGATGCAGCCCTGCAGAGTAAATACTGCCAGCGTCATTAGCAGCCTACAGTGGATATCACATTACAGTAGTTTTCTATGTTGCCCCTGCTACAGACAAAGGCAAAGCACAATGATACAGCCCACCTGTGTTTCCTGCAGAATCAAATATATCTCTCACAACATGGATTTATTTGACACTGATACTCATACAGAGCTGCTCTTTAAGTATTAGAGTGTGGTCTTTTGGTTTCAGAGCAGGACTTGATTTCGCGCTCGGATTTTGTAATTCTCTCACTCAAAATCCTCCGCTCACACTCAAATACGCCCTGCTTTTGCTTAGATTTCCTGCGCCTCTCTTGCTTCCTCTTGCACTTATGCTGCTTCTGTGCACATGCAACACGTTTGCCCTCTGATTTTTTTCTTCGAAACACACTGACTGAAAGCCGGCGTAAACCGTGGAGGGCGGAGGTGCATGAACCCAGTTTAAGTTACTGCCTGTACAGGATTCCCAAAAATGTAAAAGCTAAAACACCCACAATGAGGGCGGGACATTTGCAGAAACAAATTACAGCAAGAGCAGAGGAGAAATGTGAGAGCCGAAGTTTCAAGAGAGCAGGAAATCTAAGCACAAGCAGAGTGTATTTGCTGCGAGTGCAGGATTTTGAGTGACAGCATTACAAAATCTAAACGTCAAATCAATAAGTCCTGCTCTCAAACTGAGACCACGCTCTTGAAAAAAACGAACAATATATTTAACCACTTTGTTGCTCAAGCTGAACAATGTTGTAACATCAGTAAACAAGACATCATGAGAGCAAGCTGTTCCAGCCTAATAGATTCATTGTGGCCAACATCCTGCCGTTCCAACGCATCAGCATCTTCGCACAGAGTTGATACTGCCAGACAAGCATATGTACGCTTGCACTGCTGCTGACCTTCAGCTTGTTTGGGAGGATGCATACCAATGCTTAGCTAGCCTTCATTGATACTCCACTCTGTTTCTGGTGGGGATTTAAAGCTCGCACACAGGATATGTGATCAGAAACAATACTGCTGTGAGGTGAAGTAAACTTAGGCGTCATTGTGAAAGGATGACGTAGTGACATCCCTTTTCAGAACTGAAACTGACAACAAGCCAAAAACACACCCATTTCAGAGCAGCGCAACAGACAGACAGTATCTGTATACACAGGCACTGTGAAGTACATCATTCCCTCTAACGTGATCGCAAATGGTGATGAGAAACAAATGAGATGAGTTTGTTTGCATGTGTGTGTTTGTGTTTATTTACCTGATTTAGTTTAATCTGTCTCAGTTCTTCCTCTGCTGCAGTGAGGGGCAAGGGTGCTGCCTGCGAGATCAGATATTTCCTGTATCCACTGAGATTCATTTCATCCTGGGGACCACAAAAATGGCACAATAATAAACTTTGTATAGGACTTTGCAGAGCGTAAAATGCAGCTCAAGGTTTATTACATAAAACACAACCCCAGCTGATAAAAAGGGTTTACACAATATTTTAAATATGTTGACAGAGGATGCATTTCGAATATGTAGTGGGAGTTTGTTCTAAATCATTAATTACAGAAGCGTTATCACTAATTTTTGCTGTTTGTGTGTGGCACGTTCAGCAAGCCAGCACTAAGCGACCTCAGTAAGCAGATAGGAACATAATCTACTGGACAGTCTAAAGAAAAGATGGTGCCAGGTTGTTTTTGGCTTTAAAAACAAGTAAGCAGTTAATACTGAGGAGATTTATTCTCTTTTCCTGGTCTTAGTTAAGACTCTAGCAGCAGATTTTGATCAAGTTGCACCAATGATTAATGTTTTTTTAATGGTCAACCAGTATAAAGTACATGACCATAATCAAGGATTGACAATCACGTGTGACACAGCAATACACACTACTGAAGCTTAACTTAAAAAATAAAACATCTCAGGCTTTAACGAACTCAAGTGCGTAAACAAACTCTTGACATCAGGTGTGGCACGATCATTCTGACCAACCTTTAAGGTACCAAAGATCTCATCCTTGATGTGGCCGCCTCCAAACTCCTTCTTCAGTGTGGCTCTCGTAGCAGCGTATAACATTTTATGTCGCACCTGTAGAGAAAATAAAGAAAACGATGACGCTTTGTTATGACTGTTTCTTACAGTCTCTTATAGATTAATAAAGAATTATACAGGACGTGTTATTAGAAACGTTCTTGTTTACATTGTGTGCATCTTTGAGGTTAAAGATAAAACAATCGTCAAATGTTTGGTTGATTTGAAAACTGCATTGTTTACTTCCATATGCACTTGTTAGCAATCATCTTCCTGCTTAACCAAGATTCCTAAACTGCTTTCATATTCCGTATTTTCTCCAGAGGAGGCGCAAATGTCCGAGTGAGATGCTCCGTCTCTACGGACTCCCGCTGTGTTGTGCTTGTGTAAAAAGCAGACTGGGTAAACTCTGTAGCCAATTCGCTTGATTTTACCCGGAGGTCATGTCTGAAAACTGCTATAGTGAAAATCAGGTGTAGATCATAAAACAAATAAAGAGGAAATCTATCTATGAAAACATTGTTCCATTGCACAGCTAGTGGTCAGAAATTCCACTGGGCACTCTGAAATGTCCTGAGAAACTTGGGATCTTTAACCATGTAACACAGTTGACATGCTAAATCAAAACTTTGACAACATATTGAAGTGGAAGAAAAGCGAACACACAAAATCAATCCAGCCGAGGCAGCAGCGTTCAATGGTTGTGTAATAATTTTGCGAATTCCAGACAAGCATCAACCTGAATTGCCGTGCTCTGAGCTGCAGGGCAGGAATGTGAAGCTCAGCTATGTCTCTAAGTAAGTTTGAGTTCTACAATATCCAGCATGGCATCATATTTATGTTTCTATTTGTCAAGGCTATTTAAATGGCTGTGACTCTACGTGACATGTGGTTCATCAAGTTTCACTGAAACCAAATAACAATTGACTGAGGAGGCATTGTATGAGGCAAGAACACAGGAGAAGCACAACTCTTTTGAATAACAAGGAACAACATGCTGTGATAAACATATATCACCTAAAAGCACCGAGTGTGAATTTAGAGGCTTCATTTTCGCTATTTAATTTCGACATCTGTCCAGCGCTGTATAAGAAATAATTGGAATAATTATCACATGAACATTCACATAAACAAGCCATGCATGTGCTGGTGCAAACAGGAAGCAACTTCTTTACTCGGTTGTGTTATTCCAGAAAATAGTGGTTAAAAAAGAACCAGGGGTTTCTTTTCTTAGAGAAATGATGTAATTTGATATCCATGTTAAATTTACCTCTGGTTTTAAAATCGAGATAGATAAGACACAATCAGGCAACAAACCTGTGTGACTGTGTCATTGTTTCCAAAAGTCTCTGTTTAAAGGGTTCAAAAACTGAGGAGTGTGGACGCCAGGCACTGTGTTTTAAAACTAACATGTATTAGTGTTGATGTCGCCATCATCCGAGATGAGAAATTACGGGTGAGCGACATGTTGTTTGGAAAACACCAGAATGTAGCCATATTTAGATTTCAAGAGGTCTGGTACTGGTGCCAACGTGTATTCAGTTTTTTTCCAAACACGAATACAAAGAGTTGCTGCCTTGATGTGGTGAACCCCACCCGTCTCGGGCTCGGAGCAGAGGAGGGAAAATACCATGTAGCATGGACAGCTACTCATTAAAGCCAGCAGTTTCCTTACTGAGGATTGGTCTGGTGACCAGGCCAGGAAGATCCACTCATAGCCCTGGTTGTTAGTGGAGTCCAGCCGGTAGAGAACGTAGCAGGGCATATCGTCCTCGAGGAGCGGCAGCACGAAGGAATCATACTCCTGGTCCCATTTCTTAGATGCTTTCCTGGTGGTGCCCAGGGTCAGCTGCTCTGAAAGTCAATGTGTGCCAAACATTGACATTCAACATTTACAACAGTTGGGAAGAAGTACGGGATAAGAGTTTTCTTGGCAGAGGAAGCTGTAAACAAACTGCAGGACTCTGGGACACTGCTTACCATCCTCAATGACGATCTTTAAGGCTCGATATTGGTCTCCGCACCTGGCACTGGCAAAGATATCTTTCACATCGTTACCCGCTGAATAAAAAACACATAGGAGGAAATCAGTCTCCGTTTTGAATTGGAGGATTGACAATTTTACCATTTAAACCCTGGATTATGTGTTTCCATCTAAAAACTACATGAATCATAATAACCTGTGGACACAACCAGATGTTAAACATTACAAAAATAACATACAATTATCCTCACATATGATTTTAATGTCATATTGTCCATAATCATGTATTTCTTATGTTTTGTAGACTGTTCCTACATCTAGACAATTCCAAAAAATACTGCAAAAATACTATTTATGATAATTACAATGCAAAAAAACAATTATTGGCTTTCATTAACTCATATCAGGAACACTTCATTGACTGAATGAAGGCTGACAACCTTTGTATTTAACTATTTAAATTATCTAATTACTTTTGCATTGTCTAACGTTGCATTCACATTTTGTACTAATGTCTTTTTATATCATACGGAAAGATCTTTGAATTGCCTTGCTGTTAAGATGTGTTATACAAATAATAAACTACCCGTCCCTTATGATTTTGGCAGTTTTCCATTATCTAACAAACCTACAGAAGCTGAGGAACAAATCCAATATATGAATATAACTGCAATATGATTCATGTTTGTTTACTAACACACAAACAGGAAGGTAAAATATTAGAGGCCAATATTACATTGTTTTAAACATTTCCACACAGGTTAAAGGTTCAGTGTGTACAATTGAGTGACATCTAGTGTTGAAGTTGCATGTTGCAGTTGAATACCCCTCACCTCCCCCTCCCCTTCCAAAGATGAAAGAGAACCTGTGGTACCTTCAGTTAAAAACTCAAAAGGTTTAGTTTGTCCAGTCTGGGCTACTGTAAAAAACATGGCTGCCTCAGTAGAGTGAACCCGCTCGCTATGTAAATAGAGAGTATTTAAATATAAAGGGCCAATTCTAGAGTAAAGAAAAAAACAATCTGTAGAATTTAGTTGAAACAAGCTAATTAAAACATCACTAGGATAGTTTTATATTCAGTTTCTGCCAATAGATCCCTTTCAACTAAACTGTACACACAGCACCTTTAAGGGAACTATTTATTTAGGATAAATTATTATTTGGACTTTTTCAATGATGTAAAAATCTTCGACTTTCATCAGAATAAAGTCTAAAAAAACAAGTGATAATATTCAAACTCATATGACGGGTGGATTATTAGTAACATGTGTATCACAGGGTTAATACACACGTTCACAATCGCTGCATCCTCCTGCGTGTGGATTGGCATCTAAGTTAAGTTTCACATTGTTCAACCTGTGAATCAAACAGCAAAGAGTTCATGTGTGTGTGATGCTTGTGTCGGGTTGATAACAGTGGGTCCCACCGTGCAGATCTGTGTAATAACATGCAGCAGCAGCTCCTCTCATATTAAAGTGAACACCGGCCGCAGTTTGTTTAAATAAAGGCGTCGCCCTTCCATTCAGAGGCTAAACTAACCTTACACTGTTTGAGCCTCGTGTAGAGAGTCAAAGCGCCCAGCACAGAGAGGAAACAATGGCTGTGATTACTGTGTCTGACTATTGACTCAGAGATAATGTCTCCCGGTCCATAAAGTGACCAGACGGACACATCACGGCGGCTCACAGCTAGCTAGGAGTGGCTAGCTAACTTCGTGCTAGCTTTCTCGTTGCAATGAATTGTTGCAGGTGCTAAAGCTCGTCCGGGATTCACACACTCGCGCAATGAATAAAAACAGAGGCTACACGCACGGACACGGAGACACGTGAGAGGAGAGACACGCGTGTACCTTGAATTCCCGTCTGATGTGACATTGTGCCTTTCGTCGGGTGAAGAGCTGCTGATGTCGCCGATCAGGAGTAACCAGGGCAAAGAAGCAGGAAGTGGACTACAGCGACAACACCGCCCCCCGCTCTGACGTCACCGACCTCCGAATCACATGACACACGTGACACTGTTGTCTAAACTTAATTCAAGCTTATACATTTATCATCAGTATCGAATAAATGTATTAAATGTCTGCTCTATACGTTAGTATAATGAATATATACTATGTAGTATATATAGATTAAGGTTTTGGTTGTCCTCCATGGAAGTCAACACAACATCCTTACATGGACAGCAGTGCAAATTTGTGTGTGTGTGTGTGTGTGTCTGTGTGTGTGAGAATATCTAAAACATGCAACTCTTTCAGGGTGCTGGTTGGTTGTATGTATGCTATGTGTCTTGTCAGCCTATACGCTTCTCACAAATTTCTATATGATGAG